CTCTGCTTCTTTGGAAACCAGTATACATTACCAAACCTCAGAACTTTCACTGCCTCCTGAGGCTGCTGGAAAGATTAGATTAAGTACAAGACACATGAAACAGCCCCATAGGGTACCAGGCACAGGGTGAGCATTATCAATGTTCCAGTCCTCTGCTGGGCTTCCTGGTACTGGCAGATCCCAGGCTTCTGGAAACAACCGATGGCTGGTATTCAGCGTGTCTGTGGATCAATAAAACATGACAAGGGGCCCTGGGAGCAGGAAAGGGTGGAACGGAGTGTGTGCTGTGGGCAGAACAGAGCTAGGGGTCTCAGGAGCCTCTAGACTGAGAAAATACAATGCTAGGCGAGGCAGGGCAGCTGTAACAACCGAAGGCATTCCCCAAGACTGGCTAAAGCTGCCTCTTCTCTATCAAAGCCTGAATGGGGTTCTTCCAGGAGGCAAGGAGCCAGGCTCTGCAGCACTGCCAGGCATGGTTAACTGCTCTCACAGCGGGGAGCCCAGGGTATGCACCAGTGAGTGGATCTCCTGGGAACGCAGGATCAGCCCTCTTATTAAATCCCTGTCTCCTCTACAACATGGGACAGGAACATGGAGCAGCAATACTGCCTGGTGGAGTCAGGCTAACGCAGACTGAAGGGGAAGAGCTGTTCACGAGCAAAGCAGGGAAATTCTTCATTTGCATTTGAGGCAGTGGGAGTTTGGGAAGGGTCAATGGTGCAGTGGGTTAAGCAGTTCCACTTCTGACCCAGCTCTGTACTAATGTGGATGGGAGAGCAGCAGGAGTTCCTGGCGGAGCTGCAGGCTTCTGGCTTCAACCTGACCCAGCACCAGATGTTGTGGGCATCTGGGGAGTGATCCAGCAGATGCAAGATCGCTCGTCCCTCTTTCAAAAAATATAGCAAATAAAATCTTAGAAGAATTTCAACAATACTTCTTCACCCTCCTGGTCCCTGGACATGGCTAATGGGTGGGACACCTGTACTGCTTGCCCCTGCAGGGGATTTCCATACAAGCCCTCCACTCCTAAAATCATCCTCTTCCCTTGAAACAACACTGTTTCCCTCCAACACATTTTCTGAGCCTGATTTTAGACTAAGCCAGAGCTGCAACTGGTACTGACACAAAGAAATAAGGGGCCAAACATTTTTCTGATTCTAAAAACAACATTTAAATGAACAGGCAGAGATATCCCAAGGTTTCAACGTGCCACACGCCTGTGGATTTGGCTGACAAACCCTCTAAGCTGTGTCTCATTTAGTTTCCCATAGAGTCAGCAGGCTACTTAGAACCCATTTCCTCCCTGTGGGCCACAGCTGGGGTCAGCATGTGGACCAGGAGCAGAATCTCATGTGACCCCAGGGGCTCTGGGTGGGGTCCACATCATCTCAGGCAGTCCTGTTCTACCCTCCTCCCACAACCCCGTGTAAATGGCAGTATCGCAAGCTACCCAGCAAACTGTGAGGCTACTGGGTCAAAGAGTAGAAACAGTTGGCCACCGCCTATCTCAGCACCACATAGTTCTCAAGGCGATGAGTAGGTGGCCATGCAGAACAGGTTTTGTATAATCCTTCTTCTGGGCACTAGTTACATATGCAAATACATGTAGCTTATTTGCTGCAATTCACAGCCTCACCCCCAAGGCAAACACATGACCTCAGGTGAACTCCTGGCCCTGGTGGCCAGGGTGGGACAGGAGCTGCTCCAGCCCACAGTCCAAGTACACTCTGTACGTTCTCTCCTGCTTGTCTCTGGGGGATAAAGAACAGCAGATCTCTTCAGACAGAGTGGTCTGTGCACCATTTCATCTACCATTTTTTTGTGAATACCAGGGAAGTTTTGATCCACATTACAGAAGGAATGTGACTTGCCTCTCAACAAATTGCTCTTAAACTCTTGCTTAAAGTCTTTACATCTTTTTGGTAGTACAGTAAAAACAACTAATTATTTGTGAATAAAACAAACATTTTCTAAGAGTAAAGAAACTTTCAGGTCTATTAAGGAAGCTCTTGCATACCATCAGATCTTTTTCTTTTTCCTTAAGATCCCTTTATTGGAAAGGCAGAGTTACATAGATAGGAAGAAAGGGAACATTCTATCTGCTGGTTCACTCCCCAAAAGGCTGCAGCAGCTGGGGAGGGACCAGGACAAAGCCAGGAGTTTCTTTTGGGTCTCCCCTATGGGTGCAAGGACCCTAGCACTTGAGCTGTTCTTCATCACTCTCCTTGTTCACTAGCAGGGTTGCTGAATCAGAAGTACAGAATCGAAGAATCAAACTAGCCTTGATAAGGGAAATTGCCAGTGCAAGCAAATTTTTCACCAGCTTGCCAACAGTGCAGGCACCTGGAGTCTTTATAGCTTAAAACTTATGCACTCAGCAAATTTCATCGTATTTCTAGAAAGCTTTTTAAAAGGTCCGTATTTGGAGCTGGTACTGTGGCATTGCAGTGAAAACCACCTCCTGCACCCCAGCATCCCACATGTAGATGCCAAATTAGTCCCAGCTGCTCCACTTCTGATCCGGCTCCAAGCTAATGTGCCCAAGAAAGCAGCACAGGATGGCCCATATGTGTGGACCTCAGCACCCATGTTGGAGCTCTGGAGGAAACTCCTGGTTCCTGGCTTCAAACCTGCTGTTGTGGCAATCTGAGAGCAGATGGACACTCTCTACAACTCCACCTTTAAAATGAATGAATCAGTTAGCAAACAGCAATTGCATTTATTTACACAGTTTTGTGTGCCACTTGAAAATACATAAAGCTTTTTAAAAGAAAAATCTGTTTTTATTGGAAAGGCAATTCATAGAGAGGAAAGACAGAAAGATTTTTCATCTATTGGTTCACTCCACAAGTGACCATAACATCCAGAGCTGAGTTAATACAGAGAAGCCAGGAGCCAGGAGCTTCTACTGTGTCTCCCACGTAGATGCAGTGTCCCAAGGCTTTGAGCTCCCTCGACTGCTTTCCCAGGCCACAAGCAGGGAGCTGGATGGGAACTGCAGAAGAAAGGGCATGAAGCATTGTTCATATGGAATCCCAGTGCATGCAAGGCAATGATTTAACCATCAGGCCATCATGCTGGGCCCAATAAGTAAGCCTTATAATAAAAATCAATTTAAGAATGTCACTCTTGGGCCCAGCAAGGTGCCCTAGTTGTTAAAGCCCTTGCCTTGGATGTGCCAGGATGCCATATGGGTGCTGGTTCTAATCTGGGCAGCCACACTTCACATCCAGCTCCCTGCTTGTGGCCTGGGAAAGCAGCCGAGAACGGCCCAAAGCCTTGGGACCCTGCACCCATGTGGGAAACCTGGAAGAAGCTCCTGGCTCCTGACTGGTGCAACCCCAGCCATTATAGCTGCTTGGGGAGTGAATCATCAGACAGAAGATCTTCCTCTTTGTCTCTCCTCCTCTCTGTATATTAGCCTCCCAATAAAAATAAATGAATCAATCTTTAAAAAACAGCAACAAAAAATGTCATTTTTCTGCCAAGTTATGCAATTTCTTTCTTTTAATAAAAATTATTTTAAAGACTAAGAGAGATCAATAGATTTGTTCCCTCTTGCCTGCAATAGCTAGAGCTTGGCATCACAAAGTCACAAATCAGAGGCTTCATGACATCTCCAACGTGGGCGGTGGCCACTCTGCTACTGCAGGCACTACCTTTGTCTTCATCGGCAGCCTGCTGGAATCCTGGGAGGGGCTGGGACTGGAAGCGTCCCCTCCCCATTTGTATCTTAATTGCTGCCTTAATGCCTGCCTCAGGAATCCACCTTTAGTTATTCCATACTTAATTTTGTACATTTATGCTTTCATGTCTTGGGTTGTTTACTTGGGGGGCTTATTTTTAAACTAAACAGGCTGTGGATCTTAGTAATCATGTGACTAATTCATTTGCTTTAAATTGAATTATCTAAAAACTTTTGTAAATGCTTTTCTCCATTTATCCCAAAAGCTTGACAGAGGATCCACTTCAAAACACAAGCACATGGTTGGGACCTTGAAAATCTCATGGGAACATGGATTTAAAGGGTAAGTTTATTTTTTTGTGTAAAAAAATCTTGAAGCATATGCTTAGGAGGGCTTGAAAATGGTAATGGAAAATGAACAGTGTGGAAAAAACTATATATGAATTTCATAGATATTTTTCCACCAGTTTTCTGCTTAATTGGATAGTTCTATGAGCTTTATTTTTGAAGTGCCCTCATATGATCAGAAGACTTAAAAAGTTTGCTTTCTGGAGGAGCAAATACAATGTTGTGAAACTTTGTATAATTAGAAGAAACTGGCTTGGATGAATCAAAAATTGGGAATACACTAACATTTCATGTCAGGTGACTTATTTCTTATACAATTTGTCCATATTTCTGATTTAATAGATCAAAATATTTAGGGCCACACCAAAACTATTTCCAGGTGACCTACAAACAGAAGAGGTAGAAGAAACCTAAACTGCCATTAAGACTTCTGCCCAGAGGCCTATGTGATGTGAGGCATACAGGAAGAGCCCTTCTCAAACTAAAAGGGTGGGAATTCAGATGAAACCCCTAAACAGGAGGCTGGCTCTTTATTCCACTCAGCCTAATGCATGGTTGTATTCAGTGAGTCACAGCTGAATGGGCAAACAGATGCCTCTCGCAGCCTGACCAGAGTGCACACAGGGGAGGTGGGGACACAACATGGGACACAGCAAACTTGGAACTTGGGTGGGGACACTCACTCTGAGATGCATTTGGTAAGGCAAACTTCCACAAGTGTATTCAGGAACTTCATTTCAGCCTTGTCTTTTTCTGGATTCTTGAAACAAGGGACCACATGACGCTCATATCAATGAAGGCAAGAATATCTGTTTTTACTATCACTTTGCTACATTCTCTGGTTGGAGGGAGCTGCTTCTTAGTGCTGTAGTGCATATACCTACTGTACTAATAAGCTGGGACACGATAAAACACTGTACACAGGTAAGTATGTGTGTTTTACGGGAATTCCCGAGTCCTTTGTGGTTTACAGTAACACCAAATTGCAAATTTCCTGGTCTCCCATCACTGGAAGGAACTCTGTACCCTTTCTGGATCATATAGCTGTGTCTATTTGGGAGACTTGAGGGAAGCAATGCAGACCCCCTGGAAGGGAAGGGCTATCCGATGCCCAGCAGGAAGTCAGCAGCAACAGCTGAGCAAGCAGCCCGAACACTCATGGGGACACAAAGAAACGCCCTGCAAAGACAATGTCTAATCAAATGTGCTCCCAAGTCCTTCAGCCTAGGAAACAAAGCCGTTCCTTTCTCCACTAGTTCTAAAACAAGTTTATTACAAACCCTGAAGACTCAGTACACTTCGTATTTGCTTTCCTCTCTCTTTAAACACCAAATAAAATGCAGATCAAGGAGCTGAAACACAACTGCAAGCTGACTTGGGAACTTAGAACAATCCTAAAGAATCTTAAAAACTGATGTTGGTGAATGTGAATCTATCTGAAATACAGCAAATGGGTCAAGAATGGTCAAGTAACAGGCATACTTGTAGTAGTCCCTGGAGGAAAAGAAACAGCATTGTTAGGGAAGGTAATAACCTTTTGAAAATCTGTCCTTTATTTAGCTATGGTCCACCAAGAGACTATTCAGATTTTCCATAAAACCTTCCCTTGATACTGCTACAACACCATGGCTTGAAGAACCCCAACTGCCATTAGACACAGAGGCCAGAGCTTTCTGTTGTAAACCATGAGGCTAGGTAATGTTTGAATGAGAACACTGGATATGGATGGTCAGATGAAAGATACCAAAATGTCAGACAGCCCATCGACTGCTGTTGCCATGAGATTCAACAGTCAACATCAGTCTGATAAGCTATCCGGCAAAGTGGTGCGGCCATGGAGATGTCACGACGGGGCAACACAAGCAGACATGCAGGCAGGATTTGGTCAAGTCTAATCAGACACCTGTGGCCTGTTGAGATTGAACCCCAATTCTAACCTACTTTGACACAATGTCAACATCAGTTTTCCTAAAAAGAAAGAAGCGAGTAGTTTATTTTTCTTCCAGTGAAGGCAAACTGAATAAATCCAATTAGAAACATCCCAAAGGGGAATAAGAGCGCCACTTCCCCCACGCCCATCAAGGCTAAAACACTCAAGTGCTCGCTCTGGCAGCACATATGCTGAAATTGGAACGATGAGTAAAACACTCAAGATAAAGTAAACTTGGTTATGTATAAAAGTAATTATCTGTTAAGATAACAGATGCTAAAAAAATAAAAAAAGACAGTGCTATTGCTCCCCTCTCCTATTTTGACAAATTAAGGTCCCAGAGGTCCCATTCAGCAGAGCTAGCTGCCCTGTCCAGCAAGACAAAAGAAGCCCGAGACGTGTTTTCTTCATGCACATACATGAAGGCTTAAGAAATTCTGGTTGCAGGTGGATCTGGCAAGGCTGCCATACACTTGGTACAAGCTAAAAGGAAGTTTAAAAAAAAAAATTAAACGCTCAGTTCAATAAAACCGACACAATTCTGGAATGATCACAGATGTCTTTATAAAGTGTTTTCATGACTTCATTCTAAATATACAGAATAAAAAATGGTGTCATGTCATTTGTGAGACACCAACCAGATTTTCCTTATACTGTCTCAAAATTTAAAGATCACTTTCCCCAGAGGGTGTGCAATGAATCATAAAATGGCCCTTTTTGGAGAGTGGGAGAGGAAGGGTTGGGCAGGATGGCATATTAAATTGTATCATGATAGACATGCAAGGCTGTTTTCCAATCTAGACAATTTATATACATTTTGATGACTTAGAAAAACAAAGCAATCATTTGTGACAAGCCTAAAAAGCTTGACATATTTAACATCTTTACGAACTTTTTTGTGTATGGCGGGAATTCCCTAATTGTCCCCTGTGGGCCTTTGGAAAGTAAGGAACAGAAGGCCAATTACTGTTAAGTTTGAGGGTGAACATCACATTTCACCCTGATAGAATACAACATGGGCTGAATTGAGAGTGGATACCTTACCTTAACAAACCAAGAACAAGCATGTCAGTGCAACATATGGGCTAAACTGCTTTCAGGAATTAAGGTTTTAAAACTGATACAGGTTGGAAAAGGGAATTTTCCTTCCTGGTTTGGATTCTTCTCACTTTAAGACAGAACCCACCCATTCTACTTTCGGCAGGTAATAACTTTTTCTCTGCTTATTTAGTTTTCTCCTCTGAGTTCAAGCGTTGCTGAATTCGTTTGGCATAACTTTGTGCCATGGAATTAATGATAGACAGGATGAAGTAACACACCATCACAATGACCAACTTCTCAAACAGCCAGGACAACCAGTTTTCTCCCTGTAAGAATAAATGTTCAACAAGTCAACGAAAAGGCTTCATCAGTTGAGCAGTGAAAAGGAAATCACCCAGTGTTTTCAGGAGAAACAAACAAATAAATTGTGAGAATGAGATACCTTTAACCTGCCTGTGCTGAAGTCGGGCCCCCTGGCTACCCTGAGGCTGGCAGAATGCTACACTCGGCGCTCTCAGTCTCTCCCTTCATTCGATGTGAAGGTAATGTCACTTTGCCCAGTCCAGAAAGACAGGGCAATTATAAGTTCATCTCTTACCTTTCACTATGACCTAAGTAAGTCTCTGGTTAAACTTAAAGTAGCCATGCATTTTCACCAAGTAGTATTTAGACAGCAAACAGTTTTGTTCCATTGTTGCAGCCGTTTCTAAGACATGAGTGTATCTGTTTCTAAAATCATATTTGGACTACGGAGGGCAGCAAAGGGCCACACGCAGTGTAAGGTCAATCAAGACAAGCTTCCCACTGAAAGCTACTGCTTACTCATTCTCTTCTAGTAACTTCCTCTTGCCAGAGAGCAGTTTACAGAGAAGGCAGGCTTAGTTTAAGTTTTAGAGTTCAGCAATGTTAAGAGTTTTTGTTTATTTAAAAAAGAAATCATTTTTCCACAGTTTAGAAGAAACAGCAGAAAAAACCCAAGGTGGGATATTCAGGTTATTGCACTAAACCTGTTACTTGATTCACAAGATAGAAAAGTTATAGTACAGTTTCGAACAAAAACCAATTTCCAGGGAGACAGCACAGAGCAGAAACTGCTGTTAAAGACACTGGCAAACAAACCTCACTCTATTCACCTAGAAATGCGCCTGCAAGCTTTACAGCTGTAAGAGCCCCAGGGGAGCAAGTGCGGAATGGAGGCTCACCTGCGGTGTCCCCTCGTTGCTTCTGTGGTGAAGCTTCTGCCGCTGGGCCTCCAGGTATTCCTGGAATGGCTTCTGCAGAGACGGACCTATGCCGGGGACAGCACTGGAAACAGGGCACAGCAGTCCACAGCAAAAGACACATTTGGAAAAGAAAAGTAGGAGAAACATTAGAGAAAATCCACTTACCGTCTGCTCTCAGAAAAGTGAGAACAGATAGAAGAAGAAAAAACCAAAACAATCACTGAGCTGTTGAGATCCTGCGAACTCTTCTTCCTAGTGGACAAAAATTCTAACAGTCCTGTTGAGGAGGAAAATCTCTCCCACCAACAAGTCTAGAGGAAAGCCAGAGCTGTACACCAGAAGAGGTGTTGCTCAGAGCGAGATTGCCTGCGCCGCTGATGCTGCTCACTGAGGTGGCGCAAAGACAATGAATGACTTCTGAGAAGTCCCCCATTTATCACCACCAGTTCCTGTAAGAACTGGTTTGAACCGATTAATAAGGAAATGACTTATGCTTGTGTCATCCCTAGTTAAAAAAGAAACTGCCCGCCCTCTCCCTGACTTGCCCCATCTTCTCAGAGAGGGCGGTCCTTTCTCAATCCAAGTCCTTATTAGGACAATCCGTGCGTCATCCTTATCCAAAAAGAATGCATTAGCAAATTTGGGAGGCGCCTCCCCCAAGTCCGAAGTCAGTGATTAACAAAGAACAAAGAAGGAACTCTGAACCCTGAATCATTTCGTGGTTTATGGTAGGTGATTTGCACAGAATCCTCCAGTACATTACTAAACAGCTTGTTCTGAGCTGATTGGAACAGGGATCTTTGATAAGTTTCTGCACTCAGAGCTCCCTCTCACCCAGAATGCATGGAGGGAGGGCTGATAAACCAGTTTGGCCACTGCAGCTCCCAGGCTCCTGTTTTAGACACGCCTGCAAGAGTTTTTAAAATGGTAACTTGGGGCAACTTAGAAAATCAAATGCCTCTATGTTTCTGTACTCTTTATTTTCTCTTCTGTCACACGAGGTGAAAGGCAAACAAACCCCATCTCTTTTCTAGAGTCAGCAAAAGGCATTTCAATATGAATTTGCTGTACCAATGCCCAATGCTCTTCCTGTAAGTATACAGACTCAGTAACTTCACCTCTTTTCTGCATTTAATTGCTGCTTTTTATACAGACAGGGTTTTTTGTTTCCTATTATATTTATCAGGAAACAATATTGCCTAACTTCTGGATAATACTTTCTCTGATCCCACAATTTTACCAATCAGTAAAAACTTAATGGAGTCCCTCTTTGTCCAACATTGTAATGGAGTCTACGGGGTGGGTGGGGTGGGAGTACCTCAAAGAAATAGTCCTGCCCACCAGGAACTTAAAAGATCATTACGGAAACTTAACACATGCACAAAGGAACTGAGATCTGAGTAAAATAAATGCACAATTCAATGCTTTTTTTTTTTTAACAGAAGATATAAGTAGAAGGTTCTGGAAGAAAAAGACAGCAGTGCAGGGTGAAGTTGTCAAAACTGTCCTTTGGTGAGTAGTGAGGGATGTGCAAAATAGCCTGTGCAGACAAAGGTGGTAACCACAGAGCCTGGCACTGAGAGCAAAGACCTGTGACAATCACCAAAGACAGAGGAGCAGGGAGGTCTCCGGGTCCCCGCCTCAGCTCAAGGACTTGGGGCCCTTCATTAGCAAGGCAGACCAGTAAGGATTCTAACTATAAAGGAGCAACAATAGAACAATTTTTTATTTAGAGGAGAAGGAAAAAGAGTATATCGAGTCATCTTTCCATGTTAACACATAAACAATTCCAGCAAAGCACACACATTACATTTAAATAGCAGATGTGTAAGAACTTTCATTTTTCACAAATGGTTTCATTCACTTTAATAACTATATGTCATCACTGGGGCCCAGCGCGATGGTGTAGTGGTTACTTGCATGCCCAGGATCCCATATGGGCGCTGGTTCTAATCCCAGCAGCCCCACTTCCCATCCAGCTCCCCGCCTGTGGCCTGGGAAAGCAGTCGAGGACAGCCCAAAAGCTTTGGGACCCTGCACCCGCGTGGGAGGCCCTGAAGAGGCTCCTGGCTTCAGATTGGCGCAGCTCCAGCCGTTGCAGCCACTTGGGGAGTGAATCATCGGACGGAAGATCTTCCTCTCTGTCTCTCCTCCTCTCTGTATATTCGTCTTTCCAATAAAAATAAAATAAATCTTTAAAAAAAATATGTCATCACTTTAAACTACTAAGGATAGCTACCTTTAAGTTCTTACTTAAAAGAGAAAAAAAAGTCAGATGTTAGTAAGATTCTGGGGCCCTGTGCAATAGCCTAGCAGCTAAAGTCCTTGACTTCAACGTGCCAGGATACCAAGTGGGTACCAGTTCTAATCCCGGTGACCCCGCTTCCCATCCAGCTCCCTGATCGTGGTCTGGGAAAGCAGTCAAGGACAGCCCAAAGCCTTGGGACCCTGCATCTATGTGGGAGACTTGAAGAGGCTTCAGGCTCCTGGCTTCAGATCAGCTCAGCTCCAGCCATTGTGGTTCCTTGGGGAGTAAATCATCAGATGGAAGATCTTCCTCTCTGTGTATCTGCCTTTCCAATAAAAATAAATAAATCTTAAAAAAAATTCTGATTTTTTTGTTGTTGTTCAGGGTAATAAAGGAGGAACCGGCAGTCATTATACATTACCTTTAAAATAATTTTGAAAATATTATGATCTGCCATCATAAATGGATTCAAATATACATTAGCTGTCACTATACTTTTGTATATCCTTTTAATACTTTTTTTTTAAAGATTTATTTGAATTATTTTTTGATTGGAAAGGCGGATATACAGAGAGGAGGATCTTCCGTTCAAAGATTCACTCCCCAAGTGAGCGCAACGGCCGATGCTACGCCGATCCGAAGCCAGGAGCCTCTTCCGGGTCTCCCACATGAGTGCAGGGTCCCAAGGCTTTGGGCCGTCCTCCACTGCTTTCCCAGGCCACAGGCAGGGAGCTGGAAGGGAAGCGGGGCTGCCGGGATTAGAACCGATGCCCATATGGGATCCCGGGCGTGCTAGGCGAGGACCTTAACCACTTGCGCCACCGCGCCGGGCCCTTTAATACACTTTTGATTCAGAGTTATACTTGAACTGTCATTATACATTTATATGAAATGTAACTCTCAAAGTTTCTTGGGCTAAGGATGAGGTTAATTTATCAACAGGCTGGGGATCACATGTTCTGAGGAATTTTAGATAGTGGCAGATGTTTCTATGCAGATTCCTGTTAAAGAGCAGAAAAATCTTTGAAAACAGATATTAAAAGTTTTTATGTACTGTATTAGCCAAGAGTATCATGGGCAAATACCACATGATCCCCCAAAATACAGTTAAAATCTATGTATTCTATCTTACATAACAATTATTTGTCAGATTCTCTTAATCTTTTACTACATATTCATCAGAATTTTACTTCTATTTTCATTTCCGTACTTCTACAAATAAGGGATGAGGCTACTGATGCTTCTACTTATACAGAGCACTCTGCTAATAGAACCTTCTTAATGGCCACTGAAGTTATTTTAGTTATAGACTAGGTAAAATTTTAAAGTATAGCTGTCTTCTTAACATAGATTTAAGACAAAAAAAAAATCACCTCCCAAACTCATCTCCTAGGTAAATTTTAAGTCATAAACAGAAATAAGAGTTCAGTATGACATTTTAGATTAATTGAAAGTACAAACGTAGGGAGGCAGATAACTATCACAGTGTGGTGTTTTTTTTTTTTAAAGATTTATTTTTATTATTATTTTCTATTGGAAAGGTGGATATACAGAGAGGAGAGACAGAGAGGAAGATCTTCCATCTGATGATTCACTCCCCAAGTGAGAGCAAAGGCCGATGCTATGCCGATCCAAAGCCAGGAGCCTCTTCAGGGTCTCCCACGTGGGTGCAGGGTCCCAAAGCTTTGGGTCGTCCTCGACTGCTTTCCCAGGCCACAGGCAGGGAGCTGGAAGGGAAGCGGGGCTGCCGGGATAGAACTGGCGCCCATATGGGATCCCGGGCGTGCAAGGTGAGGACCTTAACCACTGCGCCACCGTGCCGGGCCCTGTGGTGGTTTTTTAATAGCTGGCTTAGGAAGCAGCCTTAGTGCCATCCTGGGGAAGCTATCACACTGTGTTTAGCCAGCCATCCTGTGCACTACACTAAGAACACTCAAGTGGGAGAGGTCTACTACCTGCCATCAGGCTTTGAGGAAGTTCAGAAAATGAGTGTTGTGATATAGAACATAAACGAAGTAAGCAAACACAGAAATATTTCTCAGTGAACTCTTAGTAAAATGATGACTACTCAGAGCTGTACAGTGGTGCATCAAGTTAATCCTCTATCTTGTGGTGTCAGTATCCCATGTAGGCACTGGCTTGAGTTCTAGCTGCTCTACTTTAAGGTCTGGGAGAGCAGCAAAGGACGGTTCATATCCATGGGCCCCAGTACCCCTGTGGTAGACCAGAAGGAAGCTCTTGGCTCCCAGTTTTGGTTCAGCTCAGCTCTGGCTGTTGTAGTCATATAGTCATTTGGGGAGTGAGCCCCTGGATGGAAGATGTTCTCTCTTTCTAAAATCTGCCTTTGAATTAAAAATAAATAAATACATTTTTTAAAAAGATGAACACTTGTTACAGATAAGAGTAAAAAATAAAGGAAAATAAAAGGAAAGAAGGAAGGAAGGGAAGTAGGGAGGGAGGAATAAAGAAACTGGAAAAAAATTGAGTTTATCTGCTGTGTGGTAGGTAGAGAAGCTGTTTTGGATGATAGCACCTTTTTTTAAAAGACTTATATATTTTTATTGCAAAGTCAGATACACAAACAAGAGGAGAGACAGAGAGGAAGATCTTCTGTCCAATGACTCATTCCCCAAGTGGCCACAATGGCCAGTGCTGTGCCAATCTGAAGACAGGAGCCAGGAACTTCCCTCAGGTGTCCCACGCGGATGTAGGGTCCCAAGGTTTTGGGCCGTCCTCCACTGCCTTCCCAGGCCACAAGCAGGGAGCTGGATGGGAAGTGGAGCAGTCCGGATTAGTACTGGTGCCCTTATGGGATCCTGGCATGTTCAAGGTGA